CACCATCGAAAAAGTTCACGAATAGTTATTTCAGCATAATTTCTATTTCGTTCTTTAAAATCGTTATCTTTAATACGACTCATATTGATGAAAGTTCAAGAAATGAATCAAATAATTTAGATACAATCAAACATTTAATTACTGAATGTCCAGAAGAATTTCATCATTTGATACCCAATCGTCGAACATTACCATCGTTAGTACAAACAAAAACAATGTTAAATAATCGTAAACGAATAATTGAATGTATACGAACACCAATTCATTTATTATTACAAGGAGAAACAGGTGTAGGGAAGAGTAGTCTTATTCTTGATGTTGCTGCTGATTTAAAGAAGCCATTAATTCGTTTTAATCTTTCATCAAAAACTGATATTGCTGGTTTATTCGGATCGGTTAAATTGAAAACAACTAAAAGTCTAAATGAAAATCAACAAGAAATTGAATTAGATTATGAAGAAGGTCCATTTACAACGGCTTATCGTTATGGTCATTGGCTTCTATTAGATGAAATGAATTTAGCACCACCAAATGTTCTTCAAGCTATTGAACAAGCACTTGAATCAGGTGTTCTCATTCTACCAAATATTGAAGATGATCAAGAACAAAGTCAAACAAAACAAAACTATCGTTCCTATCAAATGCATCCAGAATTTCGTCTTTTTGCTACACAAAATCCATCAACAGGTCAATATAAAGGTGCACGTGATATACAATCAACTGCATTATTAAATCGTTTCAGTATTTTTATTGTTGAAGGACCAAAAAATGATGAATTAGCTGATATTGTTACAAATAAATTACGCAATGAAAAATTTCCTTTTGAAACACAAGTTAAACAAATGGTTAATTTACATTTAGAGATAATGAGTCGTATTAAAGATAACGATTTTAAAGAACGAAATAGAAATTATGCTGAAATAACTATTCGTGAACTTTTTCGATGGTGTCAAAGTTTATGTGATTATGAAAAATTGTTAATGAAAATTTCTGAAACTGTCAAAAATCTTGACGCACAAACATTCAATCAAATTATTAGTGAACAAGCATATGCTATTTATGGATTACGTTATCGTGAACGACAAAGTCAAATACAAATCGCATCAATTATTGAAAATTTGTTTCATCGTAGTCCTTTATCAACATCAAAATTATCTATTCAATATCGAGGAAATAATACTATTACTTTTCTATCAGAAAAACGTCTTTTATTACAAATGCCAACGATTACTCTTGAACGTGTTCTTCATGATTGGTCATTACATATTGCAAAACCGGGCAATAATCAAGAAATTGAAAAATTACTTAAAATTCATAATTATTTTTTCAAATATTTTCATAATGGATCAATAACTCACATTTATGATTGTTCATATACTTTATTTTGGTCTATAATTGAAAGACGATATACAAATGATATGACTCCATTGCCTGAATTACTCGTTGAGATCTATACTAGTCTATGTCGAAATGAAAATCAACGACAGGATATTGTAAAATATATTTCAGCAGAATTTCGAGAACCAGAATCTTTTCTTTCAAATTCTGTTTCACCACTTTCGTCAGCTCGTGCATCATTCTATCTTGATGATGAAGCAAATCGAATTGCACAATTTATTTTAGGAGCATCATCATCACAACCAATTCTTATTGTTGGTCCAGAAGGATGTGGTAAAAGTCATCTTGTTCAAGCAATTGCTACATTAACAAATGTTCGTTGTCAACATTTATATTTAACACCACAAACTGAGCCAGCTGCTCTTGTCGGTTCTCTTGTACCACACCCAAAATTACCGCAATGGCATGATGGAGCTGTAAGCGAAGCAATTGCAAAAGGTCATTGGTTAATTCTTGAAAATTTTTCTGAAGCATCATCAGCTGTTCTTGAACGTTTAAATCCTGTTCTTGAACAACCACCACAATGGGTCAAAGTTGAAAATAATGAAACAGAACCTGTTCAAGTTTCACCTAATTTTCGTATTATTGCTACAATGTCTCCGCCTACTGGTCGATTACAAAATGCTTCAATTGAAACAAATCATGAACTTTCACCAGCATTATACAACCGATTTTTAATTATAAATTATCAAGGTTTAAATCTTTCGTTAAAAGATACTTACAAAAAAGTTTTTATATCATATTTTCCAACAAATGACCAGCAACTTGTTAATTATCTTTGTGAAGAAATTCAATCAGAAAACATGACACCAAGGCAATTAGTTCACTTTATTGATTGTGCTTTTAAATTAAAACATTCAGATGTGACAACAAAACTTAATTTAGATTTACCATCAGTATTACTTTCAGCTTATGAACTTGTATTCAATATTGATTCAACAACGACAACAACAACTGCAAATATTAAAAAATATTTAGAAACACAAGCAAAACATGGTTCGGTTAATTTCTTTGATTTATCAGCACCTATTGAAGTGCGTAAAAAGCATCAAGAACATATTATTGACCCTATTTCAACACCAACACGATATGAGGCAGCTAAACGTCTATGTGCATCAATCATTTGTTCACGACCGGTTCTTCTCGAAGGTCCTGCTGCAACAGGTAAAACAAGTTTAATTGAATATTTGGCACAATGTAATGGAAAAACTCTCTATCGAGTTAATAATACAAAAGGTACAACTGTTCAAGATTATTTCGGTTCATATATGCCTAATGGTGAATTTCTCTATGGTGCATTATCACGTGCAATGTTAGATGGTCATTGGTTTGTTGCCGATGAATTTGATTTAGCTGAACCGGCTGTAATGAATGTTTTGTATCCGATTTTAGAAGGTCAACAGCATCTTACTGTTCCAAATACAGGGCAAACATTAATTGCACGTGATGGATTTCGATTTTTTGCTACACAAAATGGCACGAGCTATGTCGGACGAAAGCAATTACCAAAAACATTACGTTCACGATTTTTAGAAATTCAATTTCATGCATTTACTGAAAAAGAACTTGAATTTATAATAATTGAACGAAAATTAACATCAACTATATCAGAATCAGTTCCAGCAAAGTTTAATGATGATTTGAAACGAATAGCACCACAAATAGCGTCTACTGTTAGTATTCTTAATCAATATATTCAAGAAAAACAACGACCACTTTTTGGTGCAGCAAAACTCGGTTTAACAATGCGTGAAGTAATCAAATGGATTAATCGAAAACAGCGAAAAAATGATGTTGATTGGGAAGAACATGCATTGCGATTGCTTGAATCACGTGTACCAAACAAATTCTATGATGAATTTATTCAATGTCTTCGAAATGAACGAGCATTTCCATTATTGATGGATCCACAGTTTCGAGTTAAAATTGAAAATAACCAAATTTCACTTCATTGTCCACCACGTTTACCGATATCATATTCATTTGCTGATACAAAAATAGCTGTTGATTTACAATTATCGAATGCACCACAAAATTTTTTACTTTCACTTTGGCGTATTTTTGCTGCTGTTGAACAACATGAACCCGTTCTGCTTCTTGGTCCCACTTGTTATAAGTCATATTTGATCAAGATCTGGTCAAAATTAATGGCAAAAGAATTCGATATTTGTACAATTACATGTTCAACATCAACCGAAACAAATGATCTCATTGGATCGATCAGGTACTTTCATAAACTAATCATTTTCAAGTGCTTAAGTTCTTTCCCAGAATCAGTCGGGTTAATGCCGGGCCTAGGCCAGGTATATTCCCATTGCCTGAGAAGTGTGTAGCTTACGCTATTCACGGAATCCAAAAAAACAGAAAAAAGTACCTAATATCTTCAAAATGACTAACAATTCTGATTAATTTAGAAATATTTCTATTGAGAATATCAAAGTCCAGTTCGATATGGTGTTGGTCAGAAAATTTTGGACCCAACTGCCTTTACTCTCTTCTCAATCAGAAAAACCATTCTATTGAAAAATATTTCAAGTCAAGCTGTTACCATAGAAAGATGAAGTGAAGCTTCCGCTTATGTTTTTTCAAAGAAAGGTCAAATTTTAATAGACTTTCGGGAGAGATTTCCATTCTACTACCCTGTTTTCTGACAGATTTTTTTTTATTTTTGGAAAACTGTCTTTTTTTACTGGCGTCAGCATTGAATAAACATCCTTATTTAATTTAAGCACAATCCATGGTACTCACTTACATCATCTGCAGCATACTTTTAGAAACTCCACTTAAATAAATAATGGATATGCCGTTTTTTGCTGGATTTTAATGAAAAATTACCATTTTTCTCAGAACATGATTTTCAATGGAAAAAAACTGGAATAGCTCCCACTCGATTGCAACTGTACACAATAATTTTTGCCTTAAAGGTCTAAATAAGAGTAAAATTTTGTCGCTCTAAAGTTTTTGTAGTTGGTTGCTGTGTTGAAAAATGCGGGATTTAATATCATGAAGCTATATTGTTTTTGCATATGTACTGAACTGGTCATAGAAAATGAGCAAAAGAAGATTTCTAAATTGTCTTCGATGGAGAAGTGCGCGTAGCCTTGGCTTTAATTTGAAATCACTCCGGGCTCCGTAACTCTTGCAGTGGCGAACTTATAATGGTTCTCCTAAAGACTGTAACATGGAACTAGAAGAAAGAAAGGCTAAATTTCGACTGTAAAAACTTTGAGAAATTTTTTCAATCTTCATTAATACTACTAAAGATGATCCTTGCAAGCAGTACATTTTTTGAAATAATTTGAAAATAGGTAAATATATTTTCACATGTATTTTATTTTGTTCAGACCGTATACGCAGGCTGACGCACTAAGTTTATTACTCAGTTGCTTAAATCAGTTCTGTGAACGTGTGAAAAAGAATCTATCAACAAGTGCTACACAAATCGATTATGATAATTTTAATGATTTTTGTCGGAATATTAATGGTTTTACTGATGATATCGATGAATTCGTACGCAAAATTAAGGAACAACAGCAACGAAAAATAAGACCACGTCGAACAAAAAAAGCTGACAATTCACCACCATCCGATACAAACACATCGTCGGAACGTTTCAAACTTCAAACTCAAATGAGTCAAACTGATGAACATCGAACGCCTGATTTTATACGTCTTCCATCGATTGATTCATTTCCGACGACAATAGCAACAATTTTGCCATCCAGTGAAACATTGAAAAAAACTACGACCGATGACGATGAAGATGATTTTGAAGTAATTTATACTTCCGAGCAAGTTTTCGATATGATGATCGATGATATGAATGATACAGGAGAAATTGATCCATTTGCAACAGAAACCAACCACGAAGAAGAAAAAGATCCATTTAATATGATCGAAGACAATACGAATTCAACAAACTATGACACTTCTGTTATTATCACAACGAACAATGAACAACAAGATGAGATTGATCCATTTGCCATTGGGCAACCACCAACATTGTCTGAAGAAGAATCGATTTTGGCATTTTTCAATGGTACTATAATGGATTCTAAAGAAACAACACTAATGTCCACTTCATCGCCAGATAATACAACTAATCCCATGCTTGAAGCATTTCAATCTGTTGATAATAGACTTGAAATAATTGTCGAACGTCTAAATAACATATGTCGTCTTGCATCAAATGAAAATGGTGTTCTTCTTATTAAAATTCGTTGTGAAAGTATTATTAATGAAATTCGTCGAGCGATTAAACAAGGAAAATCAAATATTTTTCTATTTCAAGATGGTCCTGTTACTACTGCAGTTAAAGAAGGTAAAATATTAGTCTTAGAAGATATCAATGAACCATCGCAAGCTGTTATTGAACGTCTAAATAGTTTATTTGAAACTGAACCATCCTTTATTCTTTATGAAGACTTTACTGCTCAAGAATCAACAACAAGAACAACAAATGTGAATCCACAGCGAGCTAAAATTCCTATTTTACCAACATTTCAAGTATTTGCTACAGTGCATACCGATGAGAAAACAGAAAATCGTTTACAATTGAGTGCAGCAACTCGATCACGAATGACAGAAATACGTGTTCAATCATATGACACTAAGGAATTGAAGCAATTAGCAATAAAATCAAAATTAAATTCTACTGATGATAAAAATATTGAATCGAAAATGACTCCAATAATTGATATTCTAGCTGATCAACTTGCTCCATTATTAGCTCAAACAATGAAAATTGATGCATTAGATTCACGTCATTTTGTTCGTTTTGGTGAATGTTTACGCTTACATATTGAACATATGCCAATTGAGCAAGCAGCTGCAATTTGTGTTAAATTTTTATTTCTTGATAGTGTTAATGAAGCTAAGAAATCATCAAGTACAAATATAGAAAAAACGAATACAATATGGCAAAAAGTACTTGATGCATTCAAATGTACAAATGATTTAATTACAACCGATGAAAAACTTGAAAAATCCGGTGTCTATGCACAATTAGATGAATGGTGTGCTGTTGAAGAAATGACAATCTTCGATCAAGAAAAAAGTCAAACACGAAAACATTGGGGTTTACGTCTCTTATCTAATCAACTAATAGCTCCTTTTGCACCACAAATAGAAACAAGACCCGATAATCTAATATTTCCACTTGCTTTAACAAAATCTGTTTTAAATAATATTTCACGAATCATATTTTCATTACATTCATCTAATCGACAATTACTTGCTGGTCCGCCAGGTGTTGGCAAAACAAAAATTATTGAAGTTCTAGCTAAAATGTTAGGATATGATGTTGTTCGTATTAATTTTAGCAGTAATACAACATTTGAAGATCTTATTGGTTCATTTGTACCACGTGTTATTAATGGACAACGATCATTTGAATTTCAAGAAGGACCACTTTATAATTCATTGAATAAAAATCGTCAAAATACAGTTATTCTATTCGATGAATTGAATTTAGCACGTAAAGAATTATTAAATCAATTGACGCCATTATTTGCTAATGAAAAGGAATTGTTTATACCAGCATTAGCAAAGTCAATTCCAATTGATGGTTCAATTATTGTTGCGGCCATGAATCCGGCATCGATTGGTGGTGGTCGAGAAAAATTACCTCGATCAACTCAAACTCATTTTATTCAAGTTCAATTAGCTGCTTTTGAAGTACATGAATTGATGTACATTACAATAGCATTACTACGTTCACATCTCGATGCGAATTATTTAACGAGTACATTAGTTGAAAAAATTAATCAATTTCATTATGAAATAAGTGAAAAGGCTCGGCTAAGACAAATCGGACGACTTGGTGGACCATATGATTTTAATTTACGAGATATTGAAAAATTATCGAATTTAATTGGTGCACATTCGTTAACTCATCGTGCTCATATGAGTCTTTCAGAAGGTACAACACCAACAAATAAAGACGATGAAAATAATCTAAGTAAAATTGAAGAACAAAATATTATTCGTAGTCTACATGTTTATCTTGATATTGTTTATGCATCTCGATTTGAATATGTTCAAGATCAAAATTTAGTTCGTGAAATGATACGAAATCATTTTCAATTAGATACGAATACTTCAGTTCATAATCAACAAGATTTGATTGATAGTGATTTAAATCTTCAAGGTTATGCCCGTCTTGGATTTGTCTATATTGAAAAGAAAGAATATCAATCAACTTATCGACCTTTAGTTCATAGTCAACGAACATTAGAAAGATTACAATTACTAGCAGCAGCTACAGTTAGTAAAGCAACTGTTTTAATTGAAGGTGGTGATTGTTCAGGTAAAACAGCAACTGTTTGTGAATTAGCTCGATTATGTGGACGACGATTACTTGTTCTTAATTTAAATCATGAAACAACAACATCAGATTTACTTGGTTCATGGACAGTTATCAATAAAAATTCGTACGAAAAACGACGAAAACAAACTAGTGAACAATTACTCAATGATATTGTTCGTTTTACATTAGCAGTTCTCATACCATTATCACAGCAATTTTATGATGCAGAAAAATTGATTCGAACAATTATAAATTTGATTCATCAATGGGAACATGGTAAGAAAAGAATTTTTCATCTCAGAATGATGATTAACGAATTAAAATCTCTAAGAAAATTTTATATACATAAAAAATTTGTTAGTGTAGCTCCGTCGAAGACCAATGTGTGAAATCTACAGGCTCTAATTATTATAAATTAATGGTATATTTTGTCATAGAGGTTAAAATAATTGATTTAAAAAAAATGTCAAATAAATGAATAAATCATAATTTTTTGATAATTTTTATAGTTGCACATACCCTCTGAAATGTTATTATTTCGAAAACGTCCGTATTTAGAATTACTATTCTACTAATTTATTAGACTCATTTAACATGTTTATACTGAAAAAACTTATTTGTATTGTCAGATACATCTTCAATACATAGCTTCTTTTCTTCTAATGATAATATATACGATACGTAACATAGAAAGCGGTAAAATATCATTTGTTTTTTGTTTCACCGATTCAACTGCCATATTAGATTTCTATAGAGATTGATTTAATCGTTCAATAAACTTCCAAGTACTCCGTTCTTTTCCGCAATGACTTTTGACCTATACTGTTGAATTTTGTCTAAACTTTACATTTCATTAATTCTTACTTTTCTGTGTCCGTGGCATTCTAACTCCGATAGGTCAATAATATATGCCCCCTCCCCCCTACTAATTAACACCAACAATAAGATTCTATAACTGCACCACATACCAAAACCTGTGATGTTTAGACTACGTAGTTAGAATCTGTAGCAAAAATCTTATATTTATAGAATGCTATAGAAAATTCTTGAATGGCCTACGTCCTCTACTCGTTGTTATGAAAAGGTACTAAATAACTTGTAACTTTCCTGCCTTCGGCCTCGATTACTAGGACCTGGGAGGCGAGGCGTAAAAACTTCGATCTAGAATTATATTCAATATTTTCTTCGAAAAATATATATATGACTTCAATAAAAGTGAGCAATAAGAGGTTCCGTATAAGGCATAGACTTATTCAATACTTTTAATTTTAAGTATTAATTTTGGAATTTTGACTGTATAGAGAAGAGTGATCAAGCTCAAAATGCTTTTCAAGAATGTCATTTATTACTGGAAAATGAATTGGAACGTGCAAATCGAATACATAGCGAAACAATTGCAGAAGAAATTGAAAAATATTTGGATACACTCGGTCAAATTGAAGATGAATTTAAATTGGTAAAAAATCTTGGTGAAGGACTAACGTTTGCTTTCAATAAAGGGCCTTTAATACAAGCTATGGAACGTGGTGATTGGATTCTTTTAGATAATATTAATTGTGCACGTGGAGATGTTATTGAACGTCTAAATTCCTTGGCCGAAGCTGAACCAACATTAACATTATATGAATCAGCAACATCCCAGCAATATTGTCGTGGTAATGGCATACATAAAGATTTTCGTTTATTTGTTATTGCAAATAATAATCGAAAAATGGCGAATAAATTATCAAGTGCTTGGCGAAATCGATGTTTAATCATTCGAATGCAAGCGTTAGATGATGAATTAACTGTAGACAATGTTGAACAACATGATCTTGCTGAAATTATCAAAGGTGAATTACAAGGTATTAATGGTGGACAAGAATTAACGCATACTTTGTTACGTGTACATGCCTCAGCAAAACAATTATCAAACGAAAAAGAACTTCAATTCATTCAATCATATCAATTATCTTATCAAAATGTAAAACGTTCTGCGCGTATACTACGAACATATGTCTCAAATAGACATGATCCAGTATTTTCTTTAAAACCAGCAATCTTTCGAAGTTATCTCGATCCCATACTGAATAATAATGGAAAATGTTCTTTAATTAAAGCCTTTGTTCAACATCTATCAAATAATGAATTAAAAAAAACATCATTTTCAACATTACCAATGTTAACATCAATCATGGCGATCGAAGATCAACAACAATTAACGACTTGGTATAGATCATCACAAAATCTTCATGAATTAATTGCATCTATTGAAGAATGTACAATTGATATTAATTTGAAAATAATAAATCATCATATGAATGATGATATTAGTGCCAAACCAGAATTTATTGATTATGGCTTATTTCTACTAGATTATCTACAACCTTTACTTAAATCCAAAGAAGAAAATGAATCCGATGATGAACTCTATACTCAAGCATCAACTATTCGATTAAAAATTCTATCAAATGATGATCAACAATCGACAACACATGGCTTTGATTTGAAAAAATGGTCATCAAAAGCTTATCGATATTTACAATCAACTAAAATTCTACTGTCACTTGATAATATGGAAGATTCACTGAATTTATTAGGCATAAGTGTCAAAGAATGTTACAAGCAAACTCTTGAATTTGTCGAACAAACATCATTTACTGATGCTCAATATCGTCTTATCGAATTACAACAATTGAATAATACAATACATCAACTAACATCATTATCAAAAAAATTACAGTTTGTTTGCAAATTATTGAGATCATCGAATATACTCGATTGGAGTGGTAAAATTCAAGATTATTTAAATATACTTTTAATTACTGAAACATACATTAAATGGGTCGCTTTTCCATGTCAACCAATGGCTAAAAATGATTTGCATATTCTTTTACAAACACAAGAATTTATTCGTCAACATAATCACACAAATACGGATGATGATGATAATGAATTTAATTCAGCTTTAAAATTAATTAATGTACATTTACAAAAGGTACAATCAATTCCAATAATTTCATCGGCCGATCAACGATTAGATATTATGTTAAAATTATGTCAATATTTATCAACAATGAAAGAAGATAAATATATTTTATTAGCTGCATCCAAATTAGAATTAAATGTTGCTTGTAAATTAACAATGAATCTTTTAATTAAACCTGATTTTATTGAAAAAATGGATGAACAACAAAGTTTATTAAATTCTTCAAATTTACTTGCTAGTTTAAATTCACTTTATTTTATTCATAAAATTCTTCATGATATTGATGTTGAAATTGCATCATGTCATGTTCAACTCGATCAAATTGGAGATCGATATGATTCGGAAAAAATTAAATTGGTCGAAAATATGGATGATCTTAATATTAAAATCGAAGACATTCATAAGAGAAGACGTCGCCTACTCGAAACTCAACTAAGCGTAGAAGTCGATATTGAGAACGAATTAGCTCAAGCTGAAAAGGCCGAAGTAAAATTAGATGAGACAAGATCAAGACATTTGACGGCAATGAAAAATATTGAATCCTTACATGAAAATATCAATACTTTATTTTTACCTTTAAGAGAACGTTTAAAACAATTCGAAGCGAATGGATGGTTGCAAGCTATTCGTAATTATGGTCGACGACGACAAGAAAATATTGTTCAGGAATTATTTGATAACATATTACGAATTTATTTAAAAGAATATGAATTAAATCAGACATATTCATCATCGAATAAGATCGATGATGAACGTAAACAATTGAAATCTGATGTTCTTCGACAATATGTTTTTAATAGAGTTAATATTGATGATATTCAAACAACACATGGACGTTCATGTCTTGCTCTAATGCAACTGATCTATCCAGATTTATTTCAACAAAATATTTTATTATATATCTTAAAAGAAGAAACATTATTATCAACAATTAGTAAATGTTTAGATACAGATAATTCCATTGATATTATTATCAATGTACAATTAACAAATTTTCTTCTTATTGATAAACGTGCCTATAATCGATATTTGACAAATGAATCCGGTATAGCTTATTTAAATGAACAATTGATTATACGTCATTATGTCATTGATCATGGAGCTGGTATAATAACAATTGAAAATAGTTTTCTTCAACTAATCGAACAAATCGAAAATGAAGTGAAACATCGATCCATGAATACAGAAATAGATATACAACGAAAATTAATTCAAACTGATATTGATGATGATACAATATATTTTGTTTTACCTTGTGCATTTCAACAAATATTTCAACATCAAACTCTAATCGATAATGAAAATTTATTGATCGAACAAAAGCATGTACAACAATTAGATCGAGATATTCAAGGATGGATTCAAGAACAACGACAATCAGGTACAATTCGAAATGAACAACAAATCTATCAAAGTTCAGTTGAAAATAGTATTCGAGAAGACATAACATTTTTCTTAAATATCATTGATCAAGTTGAATCAATTGTAGCGCAAACATTAGCATCGAAAGATATGAATATTAGACAACTTGCTAAGGCAGTTAACAAAACAAGAATTGATTTAGGATATCAAGTAATAAAAAGACTAGAAAAAAAATTAGATGAAACATTACACATGTGTATACCAAGAGAGCCAATCGCTAAAGCACGTACATTAGCTATTGTTGAAGCCAACCAATTCCGTTATCCTGTTTTAACTCAATTAAAACAATATCTTGCTGATTCTGAAACTAAATTTCATGCATTCATTTCGACATTTATCGATCGTATTCATATGATACAGGCAAAATTATTACAAATCATTCTACGTCATCAATCGAATATAAATGAAATTGACCTTTACATTAAATCCCATCAAATATCTAAATTATTAATTACAATTATCAAATTTGTCATGGATAGTATTGATGGTTATGGTCTTAAAATATCGGTTCAAAATTTTTATGATAATATTCAAAATTTCCATAATGAAATTCTCAAACATGCTGCATATTCACAATTTAAACCGATTGAACAATTAACAATAGATGAAATAAAAGCTCTAACATTTTTTACAAAAACCGAACTTGACGACGCTATTCAACATGTTACATCAATTGAAATAACTCCAAAAGTACAACCATCGATTTATCAACCAACATCGACAATTATTAAAAAAGATGCTGAAGAAACGATGCTCGATCGTCAAAATGAAGAATTATCGAAAATCGAAAAAGAACTAGAACAATTACGACAATTGGCGAAACAGAATGGTCTTTCGAAAATACAATATGCAATTGTTATGTTACTCATGGAATTAAATGAAATAAAACGTAATAAAACTATATTGAACGAAGTTAGTTTATTACATTGGCGTAAATCACCAAAACAATTACAACGACGAATCGCTAGCGAGTGTATTGAACATAAAAAATCTGATGTTTTCAATATTAAACGTGTAAAACATGAAAAATCAATGGATATTACACCAGAAATGATTGCTAAAACGGTGAAAACTACAGCTGAAAATCAATATCATTTTTCCGATGACGAACGAAACAATCTTTTTACTCTAGTTAAAACTTTAACAGATGAAACATGGTCAGAAAATGATTTGGCATTAGAATTTTTAATTGAATACTTTCATCAACAAACATTTGAATCGATGTGGACAAATGTTGAAAAATTGATCTATGATCTTTGCTTACCAAATGAAAATAATTCATCAGCACAATCGATTATTGAGAATTTGAAATCACTTATGGCTATGTTTATCTTTCTTGATTCAACTTCATTGGCCGAAATATGCAAAGAATTATTACAATTCTGTCAAGAACATGCAAAAGATCAAACCGATCGTTTTCATTTACCAGCACCGAAATTAGAACAACTCCGAACAAAAACATTAGAAAATGCTATTCAACAACGATCAATTCAATTACAAAAATTAAATCCTTGTGACAAACGTAATCTCATGTCGATAACATCAGATGATCAAGATATTCAAGCATATGAACTAATACATGTTTATCCACGTCTTGTTCGGCTCTACAAACGGCATGAAGCTTTAACAAAAATTTTACATGATCAATCAAATTACAATAAGTTGATAGGCATTCAATTATCCTATGTTCGTTTATCCGATTGTATTGCTTTGCTCTTTCCTGAACTAACAATACTCTTCATGGGATCACTTCAATTGGATAATTTTGATTTTAAAAATGTTCAACAATTACAAAATTATTTGAAAAACGACGAATTTCGAACATCGATTAAAATATTATATGAAAGGCGTTTCGTCTTAAAAAGTGATGCATCAGAAACTCTATCGCTACTTTCCTATGATCAAACAACAGCAAGCAAAATACTCATTGAATCAATTGACACTATTGTTCATCAAATGGCACAAGCTGCTGACAGTTTAGACATTCAAAATTATTGGTTTCATCAATTGTCCGAAAGTAATGAATATCATTCATTTTTTGCACTTGAAGTACAATCGCTCTTGAGTAAATTATCTGATGAAATGCAAGATAATCTATTGAAATTGACGAACCAACTTGGTACAAGTGGTACTTTAAAGGCTACAAATTATTTGAAATTTTCTGATTCTATTGTTCATCAATATGATCAAGATCTTCAACGATGTAAAGCTAGAAAAGCTACAATTGAAAAAGAGCTAAGTACATTATCATCCAATCATTGGAATCGACGACAACTAGAAATTGACGAGAGAGATGCTCGTAACGAATGCATTAGAATCGAGCAAGATTACCAGAGCAAGTTGAATAAAGAAGCTCTTAAACAAATTCGTCAACTTATGGAAATTAATCGTCTATTACAAGTTAAAGGCAATCATTTAGCAACACAAATCATAGAAAAAATCGAAAATAAAAAACAAACAACGAATGAATCTCAAGAAAAACGACGTTTAATTACATCAAGTGAATTTTATGAATATTTATTACAATCGAAATCAGTCTTAATCAAATTGGAGAAAGAAGAATTCAGCCAACTGAGATCACGCGTTATTGAATTTCTTGATAATACAAACAAAGAATTGACACAATCCTACAAAGATTTTGATCAGGCTCTTTCATGGCTCACATCAGATAATAACCTATATCAAATATTTTATCGTTTTAGTCTTGCTTACAAATTAATACACACTCAATTATTTAATTCCATACAAAACTGGTTACATGATATGGTTAATCAACGAAACTCATATGGAAAAGAAATCGAAAAGACTATTGATCAAACAAGTGCCCTTGTTTCTAACACATTAGATATTGTTCTGTCGATTGTCGATGCACCACAGATAACATCGATCGCTATGACCATGAACATACTGCATCATAATATAAAAGAACTCAGTCAAGCTGCTTTTCAAATAGATAAATTTGCAGATGATGCACGAGTTATTTACTCGTGCAAAGTCCTCTCAATTCTACTACATCATTGTTCCAGTGTATATGGACGGATGGCAATATTTCTCGTTCAACTTTTTAAAACACAACAAAGCAATCCATTAACATTGGCACAATTGAAAACAATGAAAATCGAAATTGACGATCATTCATATGAATGGGATGATTGCATAAAAAAACTGTTGAGTTTAAGCGGATTTCGTGAACGGATAGATCTACCTGGTACAAGTTTACCTGTTGATGAATATTCATTAAAAGAAGTTCACAAAAATCTAGTTTATGATTTCTCTCTAATACGACATAGCTTAAAACTCCGATATACACATACCTTTGGTGATATTTGTTATAATCCAGTCGCAATTATTGATGACTTGGAAAGAAAAATGAAAGGACTCATAGAAATCGGTGATTGGAGTGACAGTGGACGTATTGTAGAATCAACACCAAAAACAAATCCATTAGTTCAAGTCAGTTACAATTTAAATGTTCTTGTTCATAATACACAATACTTAATGACAAAAATTCTTGAAAATAAGACCGATAAATTGGAGCTGGAAACATTGAAAAATATTCAACCATTTCTAACAAATTTAAAAATGGCGATTCATCTATCATGTTCATCATCTCTTGATACAATGCACACCGAATTCTTAGAATATATTCATAATGATCAATTAGATTTGTTATTAGATCAAGGACTTATGGTCATCAAATGTTTATACAATGAACGAAAGAAATTAGTCGAACCATTGGGTCACATACAATCGGTATTGGAAAATTTTGTCGATCAATTTATCTTATTTTTTATTCAATTACTTCAACAACAGCAACAAAAACAAATCGATTCTCTTCAAAAGCAATACAACACTACAATGACAACTCGTTTAGATCTCAAAGATATCTATTTACTTGAAACTTTATCAAAAACAAATTTAATGCGTCATCTTCGTCATATTGAAAATATCGATGAACAACTCGATTGGTACAATCAATTATCACAATTTCTCGTTCAAGGTTGGTCACAAGCATCACGTATACTTCGTTCATTTGCTGCACCGACAACAAGCAATCATGATTCAACTTCAAAGCGATTACGTTATTCATTTGTTTTCAAATTATTAAATGATGAAGGACAACAAATACTTGTATTTCTACAGCAAACAATTGGTCAATTAAAAGTAAAATATCCTCAAATAGAAATGCTTAATGATGAGCCCGTTATTGTTTATCTTATTCGTTTGACAAAATTACTTCGCTATGAATTATTAAGAATGTCAACAATGAATTTAAAAGAATTGAAACTCAATTTGAATAATACAGATCGTCTTATGCTACGACCAAATGCACAGCAAATCAAATCAATAAGTAATGAATGGACTAAAGAAATCGATCTATTATTAGCACAACGAAAAAAAATCAATGAAAGTTGGATAAAACAAACAATAGAGAAGTATTTGAGTCGAGTTCGAACCATTGAAGAAGAAAATAAACGTTCAAAAACTGATTATGATCTCAAATGTAAACAAGTTCATGAAAGAATTGAACGTATAAAACAACTTTCAATTGATATTGTGAAAGATATCAAACTCATTGGACAACTTTTACATGAAGCTAAATTTAAATCAAACAATTTCGATATAGAAAATGCCGATATATTGTTCAATGATACAGTACAAATTGTAAGACAATTAATAAAAGCTCAACAACTAATTCCGAAACAATGCCGATTGGATGATGATAAAGAAGGAAAAGATCTGATGAATATGCTATGTCTAGATTCGATTCGTATCGAAGTTACAAGTGTCGAATATCAAGATGATACACCAAAACATAAAACTTGGAGTATTTTTCCCACGAATTGGGATAGTCGAATTCAACTTGTTCGAAAAGGGGATGATAAAGAAACAATCGAAGGCACTCCAAGGCCATTGGAACACACGATAAGATCAAAAACTGTGAATGATTTATTTGTACATTCAATACCAGTACCATCTGATACCAGTTCTACATCGTCGCTAAAACCTTGGGTATTAGTATTATTTGCTGGTAATGCACACAATAATAAATGGACAGAAATGGCTCGTATACCACTTGATTTTCTTAATTTTTCATCGTTTATTGAACAAAATAAGACATGCCAATTTGGATATTACAAGTCAAGTACAATTACTTTGCATCTCACACCAATAATCACAATACAAGTATTTGATATATCTACCGAAGATGTTTTTAAAATGACAATTGGATCGGAAAGCACAACTGACGGAACAGTATCAGTGATAAGTGAAGATCCATATTACAATTTACGAACAGAATATCAACTTCTTACTCCATTGGATAGAAAGATAAAACTTGGCATTTGGCTAACGGATCTCAGAATTAAATGTCGAGACATTGAAAATATAAAGTCGTACGAATGTACAATACCATCAGAACCCAAATATAAACCTATACCTCCGGAAGAAATGAAAAATGATGTACCAGAACTTGCAATGAAAGTCGATACTCAAAAATTGAATGTATCATCACCACCTACGCATCATTTTCTCATGATTCATTTAGCTTCTAAGTATGAACAATTGGATGGAACAATTCTAAAAACAATAAACATATTGAATAACAGTCTTGATGATAATGAACTCAATCGAATTCAACATGGTATTATTCGAGGATTTGAGTCAGCTGATGCGTTAAAAGAAGAAATGAAAATTTTCAAAGAAATATTTCGTTTTGAAAAATTAGAAGCTATTCTTTCGAAACTACATAATACATCAATTGATATACAAAAAGATCTACAATCGAATCTTGATTTTCGACAAACATTTCACAGAACAATCGAAAATTTACCACGAAATGGATTTCTCGTAGCCTTGTATCAAAATGAAGGCGTTATATCGAAAGAATCTGTCGATAAACTTTACACATCACAAATGCGTACATTACTTGAACAAGCAAATACATTAACTCAAAATGAACTTAATTTCGGTGTACAAATCCATCATTTTTTGATATTAATTGAATTAAATTTCATACAATTAATCGTCTATTCACTTGAAACAAAAGAAAATTGTGAAAGAATAATTAGCCTAATCGAGACAATAAAACAATATTGGCTTCAAAAAGATCAACAAATATTAATCGGTGAAAAACAATTAGATGCATGTCGAATAATTATTGATGAAACAATTACTCTTGTTCATGAACGGAAAAAACAAATGCGTTCAATAACACAACAACCACCACGTATAGTTAATCTAAATGAAATAAGTAAAGCTGTTAATGTTAAATCACTTGTACGATCGACTGGTTCACCATCGACTAGTAAAATCACAATTAATAAACAGAATGGTGAATACTTTGCATCACATTCATCGATTGTTATACACATTGAACAAATTGTTCAAAATTGGTCTTATGCACAATTACGAATGAAAACCATCGAAATTATTAATAATAGCGATGATGAGATTGATTTCGAACTTTTATCAGTTTCAAAAGAACGTTCTTTATCCGTATTTATTATTCATAATTCGCTATCTGTTGTCGCTCCGAACGACTCAAATAGTATCAAAATTACCCCGAATGCTCAAGCTAATGAAGATAAATATCGAGAAGAATGGGAACTAAAATTAGCAAATAATCGATTGAGCATACCAGTGATGATTTGTTGTGAAATAAAGCAATTTTATATCGCCATCGATCTACCATTGATGACAACAACAACAACAACTGATGATCGACAGTCAAATCAAATAAAAACGTACGTCATTGATTTTGGAGTTGTTCTTGCATGTCCTCAAGCGCATCAACAACGTTCATTTACTATTGAAAATCCAATGTCAATTGATCTTCGTGTTAAATTACGTCGAGAAAATGGTGCAACTGGTATATTTGAAATTGATAATAAAAATTCAAGTTTTTTTCTCTTTGCATATGAATCAAAAACATTAACAATTGATTGGAATATTCAAGATACTGTTCAAGATGCAAAATGTATTTATGAAATTTATTTCAGTAAAGATTTAAAATATCGAATTTTATGTTTGGGAAAAATACGCCAGATCTCATATGATCTTATCTATAAATCTGTTACTCTAACTGAAAAACAATTTCGTGCAGAGTTACAACCATGCCTTCCCGGTACGATACGTTATGAAGAGTTGATCATACGGAATACAGGTGAAGTTAAAATGACAATGGAATCGAAAGCTGAAAATTCATCAACAGCAGTGGTTGCTAATTTATCACACAAGCAAGCTGTACTTGAACCGAATACATGTGTAACATTAAAAATTGAATTACAAGTTAAAAATTCACATCGATCTATCGAAAATCTTATCAATTTACATTTTCTTCGTGCCACACGGCGACCAGATTTCAAATTAATACTAAAAACAACAGCTGGTTGGCCAGAATTAGATAGAGATCTACTCAATCCATTAAAGAAGATGGATGTCGAAGAAGAAGTAGAGGAAAAAGAAGGTCAAATTATTCTTTTGAATAAAGGTCCAGTTGAAATGTTGATCGATTATTTACATTCGATATCGCCACATGTCATAATTGAGACTCACACTTTGTTTCCATGTACAATTTTACCTCAACAAAAAACTGAATATCATTTTATTTATAAAGTTCAAAAGAAATTAGCCGCATTCGATTGTGAATTCGTTCTAAAAACTAATTGTGAACAACCAATTCAAAAGATTCCATTCTCTTGTAAACGATTAGCTCCAATAATCTCATTTGATCAAAATATTCTTCATTGCGGTACAACAAAACAAGGTTCAAGAATTGAATCATTTAAGATTACAATAAAAAATGATGGTTATGATCGTGCTCAATTGGAATACGAAGCAAAAGAAAATCCGATATTTTCATTTAAAATTGACAGTAATTCAGCTAGTATAGCAATAGCTTCACTTCAATCTCGACAAATTACATGTATTATAGAAATTCAAAAGAAAGCTCCTCTAGGAAATTTTCGAATTGATGTACCACTAGCAATTCGTTCATCAAGAAATGTATCTAAGAAATATAAATTAATTGTTACCGGTCGAGTAGAAATGAAAGAAGAACACAAAGAGAAAATTATGCCAATTAATCTTCCATCATTATCGAAATATATCCTACAATCAGAAGTTCAAAAAAGACTGATGAATTTATTAGAAAATAATACAAATCTATACCAACAACGAGCTGCAACTGCTCTTGCTCCAATAATTATCCAACTCAATGGTTTAATAAATTCCGATCCGAAACATTCCGATATTCCAGACAATTTAACATGTGAACCGATTCTATCAGCGATCGAATCTAATGAACAACCAATAACGACTTATACAAATACAATTTATGAAAGTATCAAACAAACATTTGATTCCTTCTCTAGAAAAAAATGGAGTAAATTGCATGACAATATTCATAAGATATTGAATGAACAATTGACTAGAGCAATTACTGGTACAGAAGGAAAGACCGAAGCCGAAAATCTTTTATTGGCAATGAATTGTGCAGAAAAATTATCGATTCTATTCGAAGAACATTCACGAAACCCTAATGAACAAATTTTAGGACGTTTATTGGAATTCGAAAAGAGTATTCTCAAAGATAGAGACAATGAACAAACAATTAAAAAACGTTTACTTGATTATGCATCGGAATTAGTGATGAATCAAGATGAAACACAAAAATTATCGAGTAAAGAAAAGCAACAAGTAAAACTGATGATGAATAAAGTTATTAACACCGTACAAAATCTAGAAGAAACCAATAATCCCGCACAAGCATTTAGAAATCTTCTACCAGACATGACCACAGAAACAAATCGAAATCCAATCAAATTTCTTGATCAAATATTACAATTAGCATCGGATGAAAAGCCTGTCAATGAAAAAATTATTATGCAAAAAATGTATGAATGTGATTTACCATTAGGTGATACTCAACTAGTCACACAAGCTATCGCAGCATCAGACGCTACGCTTTCAGCGAGTTCTGTATTTGACTATATTCAAACACAATTAGATGATACTAATGAATCAAATAATGCTGTGGAATTCATGAAATTAAGTGAAAAACTTTCCCATGACGATTATCAGCCATCAGCCAACGATCTGTTAACGTTACCGTGTGTTCTCGCCTCATTATCTTCTGATTTAAATCCAGTTGGGCAAGAAACACTTCATGGTTTACAACGTCTCATTTCAAATTTAACACATGGAGTTAAACGAACAGGAGATAATAATCGTGATTGGACAAAGTTTATTGATGATTTATGTACAACACTCAAACCACATCTTGATCCAATAATTCTCGATTCATTAAAAATGCTGCTAATGATCGTCCTCCTAACAGATCAAACATCATTTTGTACAAGTCAAATCTATATTAATATTATTTCGTCAATGTTAAATTTTGGAAGCGAACGTTGTCAAATATTGTCATCGAATTTGAAAAAAATGTTTGAACAAAAAGATCCATTTGTGATTTTTGAAACGATTCTATCGATAACATGTCATTGTCGTCAATTAAAATCTAAACAAATTGCATGGATGGAAATTATGCGAGAAAAACTTGCCGAATTTCGAACACAACTTACCTCACCAGCATCAGTTTTGAACTTTGTCGAATCACTTGAAGAATCTCTTTTAGAAGAATTCAAACTAACCGAAAACAAGAAACTTCACAGTTATTTAATGAATACATTCAATAATATTCAAAACAATAACATTGTTGAAATAATGCGAAACATTTCAGATCTATGCGATCTCATTCATCCAACGGATAACGGAAAAGTAGCCAATGATGCATTCATTGAAATTATTGCAAATATGAATTCAATGACAACAATGACACAATTTCAAGTGTTGGAATTAGGAATTAAATTAACCAGTCATTTGAGTGATAGTATCGATGAACATACAACTCTCAATCATCTCAATACATTACTAGAGACATATCAAAATTTGATACCAATTATGAATGGTGAATTGACTCGATCGAACATGAAAACATTAGTAGATCAAACAATTGATTTTATTCCTGATGAGAATATGAAACAATGTCTACGACCAATCTCAAAAGTAATACATACGTTGAATAATAACGAAAACATAACCATGAATGTTGTCACTGAACTTCTTGATATCATACCTGACCGGCAATTGTCGGATCATATCAAAGGTATTTTGATATCTGCTCCAGAAATTCTCCATGGTGATATTAAACAAACAATGGTCGATTTAGCACAACAAATTATTGATACTGAACGATTGGATATGTACGACATCAGTTTCAGTAAAATACTCGATCAAGGCACAACTGAACCAATTAAAGCATTGAAATCGATTGCTGCTTTACTTCCAGAAGAACTTCGACTAGGATTTAATGCTGGTATTGAACAATTAACGTCTCCGAAAATAGCTCAAGAACAAGTCGTTAGAACAATATCTGATTTGTACGGATCAGAAACCGGAAATGCTTTACAAATATCGTTTAATGTTTTGAATTCATTAAAGTCTGACAAATTACAAGCATTAAAACAGCTATCACAATTATTACCAAATGAACATGCACAAACAATTTTCGATACGGTTGAACATATCAGTCAATTGAAAACATGTGAATTAAAAGATGTTGTTAAAACAACATTAGAATTAGCATCAGTTATAGCACCGAAGAAAACATCTGAAATGCTTCAAACTGTTGCTAATGTTTATCAGAAATTAGTCAATCATGAAGAGATCGATGCCGTCAAAGATGCTCTTAGACTTGTTCCACATGTTTCAGAGCAAGCTCATAAAATTGTAGATTCGTTAATAAAACTGGCAAAACAAGACATAACACATGAAAATCTTTTGGATTGTGCATTTAATGCAGCTATGGGTATTGTGGATGAGAAAACAGCAAGATCAATGGTTGTGGCACAAAATGTTATTAAGCAGATACAAAATCGTGATCTCCAAGGTGCAGTTCATCTAATCGCAAATGAATATTTTCCAGAATATACTACAAAGATTGACACAGCTATGACCATCGCAAATTCAGCTGCTCGAATTCTTTCACAAACAAATGATCCTTTACATGCATTGAATAAACTCTTGAACGATGATGAATTAAAATCACGTTTACCGCCAGAAATTCAAAAAGTCTATGGCATTGCTCAAGAACTACGAACAATTGTTAATAATAAAGATTCAGCAAAAGAAGAATTAACGAAGTATGCATTGAGGCTTGGAGCCTCATTTTTGCCGCCAGAATACGCTGAAAAAGTAGACACAATGGTGAATTTAATTGATTCAATTCGATCAAATGATCCACAAAAAATACTAGATCAATCAGTGAACGCCATCGGCGCTTTTCTTCCACCAGAGATCAATAGTGTTATTCAACCAGTTATACCTTTACTGCGTAAAAAACTCAATAATGAACGGATAAGTTACGAGGACATGATCGATGTTGCCGGTTCCATGATTGGTGGCAAAGGACAGCAAATAATAAGTGCTGCTAAACCGTTAGTATCAGCTTTGATCAATGGAAAGCGTTTGTCGGCTGATCAATATCTTGATCTGGTCGGTAATGTAATCACTGCCATTGGTATCGATAAAGAGGTAGTCGATTTCGTCCAAAAAGTGAGGACTATCTACAAAAATGTTCGGCAGATTACTGAAGGTGTTTCAACTCTAATGAAAGCAACAACGTTAGCTTCTAAAGCAGCATGCATCAGTTCAATTGCATCTGCTGCATTAACACTACTTGTAGAGCTCATACCTGGTATACCGGAATCGGTTAAAACTGCTATTGATGTTATATGCGGCATCGCTCTGTTGTTAACCGCTACAAATCCTGTTGGGCTTGCATTAGCCGCTATTGGCTTAGCTTTAACTCTCTTGGGTCTATTTAGTGGAATGGGAGGCGGCGGCTTTGGTGGTCTTGGAGGTGGAGGTGGTGGAAGTGGTGGCAGCGGAGGTGGTGGTAGTGGAGGTGGCGGAAGTGGTGGTAGCGGAGGTGGTGGTAGTGGAGGTGGCGGAAGTGGTGGTAGTGGAGGTGGCGGAAGCGGTGGAAGTGGTGGTAGTGGAGGTGGCGGAAGTGGTGGAAGTGGTGGTAGTGGAGGTGGCGGAAGTGGTGGTAGCGAAGGTGGTGGTAGTGGTGGTAGTGGAGGTGGCGGAAGTGGTGGTAGCGGAGGTGGTAGAAGTGGTGGTAGCGGAGGTGTCGGAAGTAGTGGTAGTGGAGGTGGCGGTGGCGGAAGTAGTGGTAGTGGCAGAAGTGGTGGCAGTGGCGGCAGTGGTGGTGCAGGTGGCGATATTGGTAGTAGTGGCGGTGGCGGCAGTGCAGGTGGCCGAAGTGGTGATAGCGGAGGTACTAGTACTGGAGGTGGCCGAAGTAATGGTCGCGGAAATAGTGGTAGTGCAAGTGGTGGAAGTAGTAGCAGCGGAGGTAATGGTGCCCGCATTACAGGAGGAAGCAGTGGTGACGGCAGTAGTAGCACCAGCGGCGGTGGAACAAGTGACAGTACCGATGGAAATAGTAGCGGAGCTAGCAAAGGTGGAACAAGTGGTAGCAGTGGCGGTCATACTAGTGCATGCAGTGGGACTAGTAGCAGCACTACCGCACCAGGAAGTAAGACTAGTGGAATCAGTGGTGGCACCAGTGACGGTGCAAGCACAAGTAGTACAACTAGTAGCAGTACTACCACATCAAGAAGTAAGTCTAGTAGAACCAGTGATGGCACCAGCGGCAGAACAAGTAGCAGCGGTGCAAGTGCAAGTAGTGGAGCAGGTGGTAGCATTACCACAGCAGAAAGTAGAAACAGCGGTACTTCTCCAGAAGAACCTTCTGCTGGTGGTGATTCTCTTTCAGCTGGTTCCTCGTCCACTAGAACCGACACTCCATCACATACTATTCGATCTGGAAGTCGTCAACGAGCATCTAGAGGCCGAGCACCACGACGCAACACTTCTCGCCTTACGACCAGTGTCACTTCAACGCTAGGTGCCGGTTTAGCAGAATCTAGTGAAACAATACCATCTGAATATACTATTCCAGAAAGCCCTCTCTTAATGGGTGAAACAACTCCAGAAGCAAGAGAAGCAGCAAAAAATGAAGTGGAAACACTAGCAGGAGAAGCCGCTGAATTAAGTCAAGAATCGGAAAAACAAGTATCGAATATAGTGAAACAAGACGAATTATTATTACCGGAAACAATAACATGTTTAGCCACAGCAACCATGATTAACAATAAAATTCAAGCGACAATGAATACTATTCAACAGATGGCTGCAAATAATATGAGACGAGAAATAGATAGTCTGGCTCAAACAATCTTACCCACTGTTATTCAGACATCGTTACAATTGTATCAATCATTGGAGTCGATCGAAAAATGCTCGGGTGATATCAATGGTCACATCAAACGAAAATGTCAGGAAATACAAAAAGATTTGATTCAAGTTTTAGATAAATTAAGTGCATCTGAATCCTTGCGTAAAATGTGGAAATTAAGTAAGAAAAATGAATTAGTCGACGACTATGATGTACCCGAAGATGGTCATATTTCTAATCTAAATTATCAAGGACAAGATCAACAGCAACAAACAAATCTTGATAATATTAAACAACTCATACAAGGATTTGAAGATTCAAAATTTGAACAAGGTCAAATAATTGGCAATTCAACATTACACAAATTGGGTATTCGTCTTGACAATCTTTTATCGAATTATGAAAATGATTTGAATTCAGCTATCGACGATGATAATGACGACGCGAAAGGCAATTCAGAAACAGATCCATCAACACCCCCAGCAGTACGGCGAACAACTGCCAATCGAGATGTGACTTTAGAAATTGATGATCAAGGAGTAGTGAAAAATATCGAATCAGAAAAACCGTTACCAAAAGGAGACATCAAACCACGCGGTACTATCTATGTTCAAGTTGGAAAGAATATTGATGAAAGTCCAGGAACAACTGACACGAAACCTAAAGAAGATAGTTCAAAAACAACTATCACGAAAGAACAATTAGAAAAGTTCCAAAAAATTTCCGCTGATAAGTTTGAAAATCTTTTACAATCCGTCAATAAATATGACATTGGTAAGATCAGTGAAAATTGTCGACCAGAAGATTTACCAGATACTAAATTACATAAGCCACGATATGCTCTATTAGCTCGTCTTACACGAAATATTCAACTTATGCTATTGACTCGTTTACGTTCAGCATTAAAAAATCAATACAGAAAACAACAACAACAATTCGATCAAACAATGTCCGATGATGATCTACAATTTGAATTTGTATTTTGTGTTGATAATAGTGGAAGTATGAGTGGAAGAAAAATACGTGAAGCATTAAATACATTAGTAATTCTCATGGAAACATTTCATCGTCTCGAATGGAAATTTGCTGTTATTCGATTTGGTGCTGAACAAAAAATTCTTAAACCACTTGGACATCAATCAATGCATGATACAGTTCAAGTATCAAAATCTGATATAACAAGCCTTCAGCAAAGATTAGTCGCACGTGGACAATACATTCTTGAATCATTTACTACCGATGAAAAGACATTACCAGCAACAGCATTAAAACAAATAGCTGAAAATGAAGATTTATTTGGTAATAAAATCAAACCAAATGTTAAACGTTTTATTATTATGATTACTGATGGCATTTCATCTCAAACCGATACTGACTTATTTACACGAGAATTAGGAAAAGCTAAAGCTGATCTCTACATGGTTTGCATCATACCTGAAATACCAAAAGCGGATGATACAAAATTTTCAAACGAATATAAACAATTTGCTATTGAACACGAGAAAAAAGCCAAAGAATTCATACAGCGTATAGCACCAGGTCGAAATCAACTTATTGAAATAGGACAATTGGATACTCTAACGAAAACCGTTGTTGATGATCTGTTCAATATTATAGAACAATCGATTCTTGCTCATACCAATCGATTGGCTGTTAGTCAAACAACGACAACATCTCCTGCTAGTAAATTCTATCGATTAAATGCATTTACTTTATCCGATGTAAGAAATATTGAATTATGGACACATCCTGAAATCACCTATACTGGTCAAATGTATGTAAATGATTTTCGAAAAAAACTCGAACAACAAACACTTCAACAACAAATGGATATTGATTTTTCGGTTGCTTCAAATGAATTTATCGACAATTTCGATGAAACTATGGATAAACTCGAAAAAAGTTATTCAAACTTAGAAACACATGATACAATACTGTCACATACGGATAAAATTCTTCAACAAATTGAGCAACAACTCGAAACTTATGTTGGTGAATTAGTACGAACTATGGAAGATTATATTCTTCCAGCGTATAAACCAACACAATCATTGCCGGATACACGTGGAAATCGTTTATACATTCCAGGTATCGTAAAATTCATTTGTACACAAGGACAATACAATCGAATTTATTTAAATCAAATTGGTTCACAAAAACCAGAATATCGTATTGCTCTTCTTCTCGATCAATCTGTTTCAATGACTGGACCAACCTATTTTTCATCAGTTGATATTTTACTTTCAATGTGTGCAGCATTGAATAAAATTGGTATTGAAGATTTCAGTGTTTTAACATTTGGAAAACAAATTGAATTGATAAAAAGTTACAAACAAAATTACGATCGAATATTTCTTCACCATCTTTTAAATGCATTAAAAATTGATGGTGAAACAACTTTATTGAGTGATGCTATTTTTGCTGCATCCGAATTATTACAACAGCAATCGTCACATAATAATAATCATGGACCAATGTTTATTTTTGTTTTAACTGATGGTTATGATAAACGTGGAAGTTTCATACATCGTATTATTGCTTATGCTGAACAACGTTCAATTACTGTTATTGGTATTGGTATTGGCTTTGAATCGAATGGTGTATGTTTGTCATTCAATGATTGGATCATTGCACAAAATCCACGTTTACTTTGCGATGCACTTATCAATTGGTCGAATGAACAAAGTGATGGACAAACACCTTACGATTCATATCATGCCGATAAGACTACGACAATTCATGGAGAAGACAATCAAATGTTTTCATCTACAGATGACATATGGAATCAAGAAATGAAAACACATTTTGATGCGATTACACAAAACGCAAAACGTGCAATTGATTTAACATTTTCAAGTACTGTTCATAATTCACCATTGACGGTTGAAATTTGTTTCGTAATGGATTGTACTGGTTCAATGGGAAGTTGGATTCAAGCATGTAAACAACATATTAAAGCTATTGCGGATGGTATACAAAAAGAAATGAAAGAAAAATATGACAAGGATAGTATTCTACGTATGGCATTTGTTGCTTATCGTGACTACGGTGATTCGGATCGTTTTGATTCGATTGATTTTCATCAAACACCTAATCTCGGACCAGTCGAAGCTAAGATTGCTAGTCAACAAGCTAGTGGTGGTGCTGATCTATGTGAAGATGTTCAAGGTGGATTAGATAAAGCATTAAAATTGAATTGGACAAATGATAATAGTTCACGTGCAGCACAGATTTTAGTATGGGTCGGTGATTGTCCTGGGCATACACCATTTTGTCATAACGGAGGTTCCGGTTGGGATAGCTATCTTGGTGGCTTACCAGATGTTCCATTAATGACAGATCTCATCAATGATATCAAAAAACGTGGAATTTTTCTTTTATTATCTGACTTTACTGATTACGTTAAAACAATGATAGAAAACATCGAAAAAATCTATAGAGATGATAAAAAAGAAAATCAAGTTCGACGAGTCAAATTGAATCAAGCCGACACATCATCATTATTAAATGGGGTTATGCAACAAGTAAACACAATTATTGCCAGCGAATTCATGTAACTGAACAAAACTAAACGTGATTAACTTCATTTCACTATATGCTTTTCTTATCTTCTTTTCATTTAACCAAGAAATAAATTTTTACATCGCATATTGAAGGACAAATGTATTAGGACGGATAATCCAGTACATAGAAGGGTGTGGATGAATGTATGCTTGTGCGTGTGAGCCTTTTGTTCATCCATTCACATCCTACTGATTAGTGCGACAACTTCTTTCGTTTGTAGTGGTTTGAGTAGCATGTGTCGCTTAAAAATATTCGAACAGAGTTTTAAGTAATATTCACCAGCAGTTTTTTCATTACTCAAGAAGTCAAAAGATCAACACAATTTGATTGAAATGATTATTTTTGACCATGTCATCGAAAATATTTTATGACGTCTAGCATGCCAGTGTGAGTGAAAACCTTGAGTTGATCCACACTTACTTTTTGTATGCACACTCTGATGTCAATATAGTTCATTTAGAAGAGAAATGACCCATAGATCTTTGATAAAGTTTTCATATAATTCTTCTTATTTCCACAACGAAAAGTTATATTTAAATAGACACGTTCATTCATTAACACACTCATCGAATAAACTATTTGCTCTCATTATTTCGTTCGAATGAGCTATGCTTTGGTTTGAAATGTTCGAGCATACGCTTCTTATTTTGAGGGTGTGGATGTTGGCCTTTTCTTCTACCACACTCGCACACATATCCAAAATACTTTTGCCCTATTATTTTGGACTATGACACAAAACTTATTGTTTTTGGCGATTGATTTGCGACTGCCTAATTGCCGTTGAATTCTTATAGGTGAAGGTAATTAAAAGCGCGACGGTACGCTTGCGAATTTCTTTCATTAATTCATTATTCAAAGAATCGAAGAAAATATCTTACCAATGAAAAAAGTGAGAGCTATTCTGCCTCGATATTATATAAACCAACTCCATATAAATTCGGATAATTTGTAGCAAGAAGTATACGTTCCATAGATGATGATTCAAGATTAAGCTATCAAATTTGACGATGAATTTCAGGTCTAATTTCTAAGTAAAATCGATCAAGTATTGGATCAGTTAACGAATAGATAAGGAAACGTGTCATCAATGTTAAATGGCTTGTAAAAATTGTATGACGTACAATTTTGTTGAATCGTTTATTCATACTAATGAAAGAATAAAGTACTGCAAGATTATTCAAGTTTTTGAAAATATTCAAAAGAATCACATTAGGTAATGAGTAAATTTGCGGGGTTTCTACCACTTTCCTGGAAATTTTTTTTTCTATTTCGACCTTTCAGTTAGATGTAACGTCGTCAAAAACGGTCTGTGACTTGAAAAAAATTTTTTTTGTAATATTCTGAATAAAGGGTGCCCCATAAAAACTAGGGATAAATTGTTAATGATATTTTTCATACTTTTTTCTGACGTAGAGGATCGAAATTTCTATCACATATATATATATATATATGTAATTAAGATCTTTTATTTTTGAAAGTTTCGTCTCTCTAGCTAAAACTAGTGGTGAAATGCATCCACATATTCGAAATAATAAAATTTTCATGCAAAATAATATTGCAAAAATCGAGTACGAAAATTTCATTATTTCGAATAAATCGATGCATTTCACCACTAGTTTTAGCTAGAGAGATGAAACTTTTAGAAATAAAAGATCTTAATTACATATATATATATGTGATAAAAATTTCAACCCTCTACGTCAGAAAAAAGAATGAAAAATATCATTAACAATTTATTCTTAGTTTTTATGAGACACCCTTTATTCAGGATATAAACTGAGTTGTATCTAAATAGTTAGTTAGATCTCCAAACTTTCGGTACAAAAAAAAAAAACTTTCTTTTAGAACTTTATGACAGGATACCTTTTTTCCAAAAAGTAGTAGAAATCACCACGGGTTCACCCATTATTATTATGATTATATTATATGTATCATGATGTTAATATTTATGATATTATATATGTCTTGAATTTAACGTTTTATTGATGTAATTATTTTCATGATTTTGTATATATATATATAGATGTCTCGTGGCGTTTTCCTAGAAATTTTTGATTTTCATTATGGGCATATCAATTTTGTTCTTTGTTTTTGTTTTACTGCTCTTTTCATCAACAGTCTAAAGGTTAAAAATGGTCGTTAGAAAGAGAAAAAGTTTCGTATATAAATATATATATTGATTATTCATGAAAAACTATAAAACTAATCTACATATATATATTCTCATTTTTCAATAATCTATGATATAAGATATTATCAAATATCTTGAAATATTTGAAATAATCTTCAACAAAATTATTATCTTTTTTTTTTGTTTTTCTCTCGAATAAAGTTTAGTAGATATATGTATCTTTTAATATAAGTTCAACTGAAAGATTTGAACAATAAAATAATATTTTATATATACGCTAAACAAAAATGTAGATGACGGGTGGGTCACAATGAATGACTAAACTTTGCATTTCATATTTTAATCTTTAAATACGTTTTATTAATGCGATTGACTATCAATTTTGCAAAACATAATCATTTGTTGATAAACAATAAATTTGCTTCTTTATATGTCATCGGTGGAAGACAAATCTATTCATTAACGAAAAATATTTCTCATTAGAACGTGTTTATGCTGAAAAGTGATAAAAAGCAGTCGAACAAGGAGATATAAACAAAAAGGTTAAGTATCCCACAAGAGTCATGGTATATTTAACTACATCTAAAAATGGTCTTACATCTCCCATTATATTTAAATCTGTTAAAATGTTATCATATGAAAATTATATTGAATTTGTTTTTCCACAAGTACGATCTGAAAGTAAACGATTCCTAGACGATGATTTCATCTATCTATATAGATGGCCATCAAATAGTCTTGATCTCAATGTTCTGAATTAATTATTACGTGTGGTATGCAATTATTAATAATATTAAATGAGTTTAAGTTAAAAACTATGATTTATTATTTGATGATATAAGAAAAAAAGAATTCATCGTTGAATAATAAATGATTATGTTCGCAGCATTGAACATTGGTCGCATAGAATTTTGTCTATGTTGAAAACAAAAAGTACACATATTAAAATAAGCTCTATTTTGTAAATTATAGAGATTTTCATGCTGTAGTTTATGGTATCCTTTATGTGTGAAATTTATATTACTTTTCTGTTCGTCTATTCCCAATGAGTAGTTCGTAAAAAAAACAAAATGAATTTTTGAAAAGACACAAAAACTTATTACAGTTCTTTTGTGAATCATTCAATATTTAATATCAAAAAATAATATATGTAATTTCCATTTATTTTTTTTTTTTTATTTTTTCATTACAAAAGAAATAATAATAATTCAAGATCAAAGTGTATGTTATATATTACATATAAAAGTCTGTCGAATGTTTCATTTTGGAAATAAGGATATAGATATATATATATATACTTTTGAAAACAAAACTCATCGTTATCAATATAATTGATGCTTAGAATGTTTATTTCACTTTTTTTTTTTCTTCTAAAATATCTGAAATATGAAACAGATCTGACATTTAATCTTGATCTTTTCGACCATATTTAAGAATTTTAACAAATTCTTGATAATCAAATAAACCATTTTTAATTGGTGCTTCTTTAAATAATTCGTCAACTTCTTCATCAGTATAACGATCACCAATTGTCATTAATAATTCACGTAAACGTTCTTCAGATATTTTACCAGAACCATCTTCATCTAATGACATAAATGCATTTTTAATAACATCTTCTGGATCCGTACCCGTTAATTTTTCTCCAAATAATGTTAAAAACATTGTAAAATTTATATCACCTGGTGCTTCACGAATCATTCCATCGACTTCAGCATCAGTAACAACTTTACCTACAAAGAAAAAAACAACCCGAACATTCGAATAAAATACTTTTTAAACAAAAATTTGATAATACCCAATGAAGCAAACATATCTTTTAAATCATCACCACTAATAAAACCATCCTAATCAAAAAAAAAAAAAAATTAAATTAAAAACTAAAAATAAACGAACTTTACCCGATCATGATCAATAATATTAAATGCTTCTTTATATTCTTGAATTTGTGATTGATCGAACATAGCAAATATGTTCGATGTAGCGCGTTGTTGACGCTTCTTTGGTGGTTTAGCTTTAGCTCGTGATGCCATTGAATAATTTTAATAAAATTTTTACTCGAAATAACTAAATTTATACTAGATGCGAAAAAAAATATTTATCTAAACAACAAACACACAATAAAATTGCATGACATTTTTTCATCACCTACGCAAATAGCATATAACATGAATCAGTCATCATTTCGTTTCGTTTTTTTTTTTCTTTTCTCTCTCAACCAACCTACATGTATGTTATTCATCTTTCGCTCTATTATACACATTCGACAACCGGTGTAAATCATTCGCCCTCGCCTATCATCATCGTCGGATCACAAGTGACTCCTTACATTTGTTGAGTTATAACAAAAATCAAGATAAATATTGAACACATAAATCGTGCGTGTATGTGTTTATATTCCAAAAAAAAAAAGAAGAAAGAAGGACAACAAAACTGTTGTCCTCAATCGAAACAACAGATATGTTTATGAGTGTCAGACAAAAAAAAAACCAGGACAAAAATGTGAAAGAAATTATACAGGAAAAAAGAGAGAGTAGCAAATACATTCTTCAGGGTCATCATATCATTAGAAAGAAAAGACAATAATTCTCATACAACCAAAATGTATTATAGAAATAAGACTTCAATACATAAGACAGACAATTAAGAAAAGACAAAACAATGTTATTAAAAAATATCCTAAATCTAACACAAAGGGCAGGTACTTGATTTAAGAAAGAATAATGATCGAGTTGTTCACACATCTGATTATATATATATGCGTGACTTTGAAAAGAGAAAAGGAAAATGAAATGATCACCGTCGGACGATATTTTCTTTAAAAACAAAAGAATTGAGTGCATTTGAAAAACAAAATCTTCTTTTAATTTATCTATTTGCCTTGAAGTTCATTTAGTTCACTATTTCTTGGTGATACTAAAAAAGAAAACAACGACAATCATCATTATATTTTTTTTTTTGCTGTAAATAAATAGTTTACATGCTTATCATACAAACACGTACAAGCAACCAATAATTTATAACCAAAAAAAAAGAAACAAAAAGAAAAACGAAATAAAAAATATTGAAAAAAAATTATTCATCACAAATTGTTCCAAACCGATTAGTAAATAATAAGATTCTGATCAAAAATGACAAATCGGTGAATAAATCAAAACTATCACATATAAACTGCATAATATCAAGAATCATAATACATCATGCAATAAACTTGTTTAAAATTCAATTTCTGGAAAAAACTTAAAAGAAACCAACACAGCACACATTCGGACGGATTAAAATGCAAAAGAATTTTCAACATGCATTATTAATCAACTTACTGTCAACAAAACGACGTGACAAAAATTTTAATAATTCATCAAGTAATACAACCGGGAAAGAAATTTTTAATACAGCCATCCATTCTTCGAGCGTTAAAGGACAAATTTGAAATACGGTCTAAAAAATAAATTAAATCATGTATTCTTTTCTTTTTTAAATTTATATTACATTAAACATTGGTATATAGAGAATCATCATGTGTAATGACATAGATAAAGCAATGGCAAATAAAAGATATTTATTATACCAAGGAGGCATTTTAAGAAGAGATTGATTTTCAGATAAACTAAAAGCAAATAATTTCTTTTTCATTTTAAAAATATTATTTTTCATTAATAACCTGTTAAGTGAATTTAACATTTCAATAGTAACAAGTACTGATAAAGCCATTGTCATTGGATGAGGATCATCGAAGACATCACAATCAATATCTTCCCATTCTTTACCACCTCCGCGACATTGAAAATGATGTTTCTAAATATATATAAATAAATAATTACATAAGTGCATATTAATCAAATTAAATATCATGCATAATATATTAAGACACAAATGATGTCCATATATCATTGCATATTTCTGTTTATTTTCTTACCAGCTGTGACCATGTTAATAATGGTCCATCATGATAAGAAACATACCACCTAAAATTGATTTTTGAACTCATTCAATAAACTGAAATAATTTAAGTTCTTACCAACATGACGCACCAACAGTACCTGCTCCTACGTATGCTACAATAAAGATGATAATTAGTTAAATATAATACAAACCAAATACTAATAAGAAAGTTGGTAGTGTAATCTCTGCGGGATTAAAATGTGAAACAGCATGTAACTTCTATTGCTAATCACAGGAAGATATTATTATTCTATCTAATTTTGGACGTATTTCTTCATCGTCCTTTTATTTAATCCTCCAGAAATGCAATAATAATGTTGTTCATATTTTATAACGAGACATTATTTATATATAATCTATGATCGTATATCAACAGCTGTCACAATCTATGGGAGAGAGTTCGCAGTTTTACTCCTATTCTTCAACACTCCTTTTAAATCGTCTTTCTTTCACAAAAGGTCATGATTATAAGGCGGATCCCGTTGACTATCATGAAATAACATGTGTCGTATTTAGGTCTCATCTTAACGATCAAATTTAGATTAATTAGCTGAGAAATGATGATATAAATAGATGCTATTATTAGCTTACTTCCGATAGCCATATATCGAAAGAAGAGCCATGGTGTAATTAATGATTCTTTTGGATTACGTGGTGGACGCTCCATAATATCCAAATCAGGTGGATTAAAACCAAGTGCTGTAGCTGGTAAGCCATCAGTTACCAAATTAACCCAAAGTAATTGAACAGGAATCAATGATTCTGGAAAACCAAGAGCAGCAGTCAAAAAGATACAAACAACCTAAATTATTAATGTTCTTATTTTAATTTTTCCCCCAAAATTCATTTTTATTCATGAGAATTACCTCTCCAATATTTGATGAAATTAAATAACGAATAAATTGTTTCATGTTATTATAAATAGCTCGACCTTCTTCAACAGCAGCAACAATTGATGAAAAATTATCATCAGCTAAAACCATTTCAGCTGCCGTCTTAGCTACAGCTGTACCAGAACCCATAGCAATACCAATTTCAGCTTTTTTCAATGCAGGTGCATCATTAACACCATCACCTGTCATAGCTGTTATTTCACCATGTGATTGTAAATATTCAACAATTTTTGATTTATGTGCTGGATCAACACGAGCAAACATTTTAGCATGACGACAAGCTTCAGATTGTTCTTCCACTGAAAGATCATCAAATTCTCGACCACTAAATGCTTGACCTATATAATAAAAGAATTAGAAAAGAAAAAGTTCATTTATCATAAAACATCATTATTACCTCTTGTATCTTGTGATTCTTTAAAGATACCAATACGTCGACAAATAGCTTCAGCTGTATTCTTATTATCACCAGTAATCATAATAACACGAATACCAGCATCACGACATCGTTGTATAGCATCAATAACTTCTGTACGTGGTGGATCAAGCATACCAACAACACCAACAAATGTTATATTATTCTAGATTAATAAAGATGTTTTTTTTAAAACTATAATCGATTATAAGAAACCTTACTTCATATGTAATAAATTTTCGTGCATCTTCTAAATCCATATCTTCTCGTTTTACTGGACTATCAATAGTTCCTAATGCTAAACAACGTAATGTATCTCGTCCTGTTCCATATTGATGAACTAATTTCATTATTTCTTGTTTAATTTGTGCAGTCATTGGAACTTTTTGTGTTCCAACTCGAATATGTGTACAACGTTCAACAACAGATTCTGGAGCACCTTTGACAAACATTTTAGCTGATTGTTGACTGTTATTAGCAGTTTTGCCAGCAGTAGTAACATATGTCGACATTGATTTTCGATCACGTGAAAATTCTAATGTAAATTCTTTACGATATTTTTGACGAATAATTGTATTTGATGACATAGCCATTTCTAGTGGTGATAAACGTGATTTATCTGTATTGAAAACATTCATCTTTTCAACAAGAACAGTTAATGCTGTTTCGGTTGCTTCACCAACTTTTTCGAAAACTCTCTTTGACTATTTAATAAAACAAGAACAATAAAGAAATCGAGAAAAAAAAAGTGAATGACTAACTTCATTATAATCTAATGCTGAATCATTACATAAAGCAGCACATTCAGCTAATTCAACTAATCCACTACGATCAGAACAATTAAATTTTATACCATTACACAGTATATCACCTTTTGGTTCATAAGTTGATCCAGTTATTTCAAATTGATCGATTTGTATATCATTACTCTCAGCTTTACTGAATATAAACATCTAATATAAAAATAATCATATTCAATTATAAAACAATTTCGATTCAAAAAAAAATCTTACTCGACAAACAGACATTTGATTCGTTGTTAATGTTCCTGTTTTATCCGAACAAATAACTGATGTACAACCGAGTGTTTCAACTGATGGTAATGAACGCACAATAGCATTCTTCTTAGCCATTCGACGTGTTCCCAATGCAAGACAAGTTGTTATAACAGCTGGTAAACCTTCAGGAATGGCAGCCACAGCTGTAACATGACAAAAAAAAAACAAATCATTACGAAATTTAAAGAATAAAATCAATTAATCAAACCAAGTGCGACAGCAATTTTAAAATAATAGATAGCACCACGCAACCATGAACCACCATGTACAGGATCATTAAAATGACCAATATTAATAGCCCATACAGCAACACAAATAACAGAAATAACCTTCATAGAAAAATAAGAAAACATGTGTATTGTTGTTTCTTAATTAGAACACATACTTTTGATAATTGTTCGCCAAATTCATCTAATTTTTGTTGTAATGGCGTTCTTTCTTCTTCAGTTTCAGCCATCTCCGATCGAATCTTACCTGATTATAATAAGAAATTAAACGTGTTTATCATTAAATCCGTAATAAATCTAATGAGAAAAATCTCCCGACTGATTAATTATTTTTTCGGTCAACACTATGTGCTTCATGTAAAACCTAATGAGCTATGAATGCATTGAAAAAGACCCTTAAACTTATTGCTGCTGAGATAATGCGTTTTTACAGTATTTTCTTAGTTAATGCCAGTCTCCCGCAGAAACACCAGGATAACTCATTTTCGAATAACGACT